AAAAGATACAAGACCCTTGTTGCAGCCTTTATGAAGGAAGCAATGAGTTACAATAATCCTCTCCTAATGTTCTTGACATCAAGGCCTCTATGAAGGAAGCAATAAGTTACAATAACGTTCTTGTTTTGTTCCTTTATAAAAGATGCAAGACCCTTGTTGCAGCCTATGATAGAAGGAGCTCCATCTGTGCAAATGCCTACACATGATTTCCACGATAACTGCCATTTATCAAGGTAGTTATTCAGGATGTTAAAAACGTCCTCACATTTTGTAGTCAGACTTAATTCTTTGCAAAAAAGAAACTGATTTGTTATTTGATTTTCGTAAATGAAATGAATGAATGCTATGAGTTGCGCCTTGTTGGTAATGTCGGTTGACTCGTCAACTTGCTGTGCAAAATCAGAACACTGGAGTTTATTACCACATACATTTTTCTCAATATCAGAAGACATTTCCAAAATACGTTTGTTAACAGTATCATTGGACAGAGGTATCTTGCTTATTTTCATAGCTGCTTCATTTCCTAACATCGTACTGACAATCTTTTGGCAAGCAGGCAAAATAAGTGACTTACCCAAAGTATGAGCTTTCATATTTTGTGTGATCAGTTCTGAGACTTGGTAAGAAGAAATTTGAGCTTTATCAGAAACAGTCATTAAACTTTTAAAAGAATCAGCTGCTTTTCCTTGCTGTTCAGACATTCTCTTAAAATAACTTGTGGGTTTGTCCTGTAAATGAGTGTTTACTTTTAAATTGTTTACCAAGTTTACTAGGGAGCATTGATTCATTTGACATTTTCATTCCACAAACTAAACACACTGGCTGTAGATTATCAACATTTCCGGTCCAAGAAAAGCCAAAGCTTAATTAACTCATCGTATTTACAAGTCGGTCGTGGTTTTGCTTTCTTACTAGAACAACTTTCCACATTTGAGGTTTGCTCACTTTCAGTATTACATTCATCAATGTCACGCTTCTTTTTAAGAAACTTATCCATTTTTATGGGTGAATTATTCTTAACAAAGACAATTATATCAACGGTAATTATTCTGAAACTTGTAAAAGGCACAATACGTTTACTCTTGACGACACACCCACTCACCAACGCCTGTTATGCAACACTGCCAGTTGCCACGTGATGAAAGCTAGTGCCGGTGTTAACATGCCATTCCAGCCACGTTTGTTATGCGTTTTAAATGCGTGCAAAACTTGCGGACCAGAAGGTAGTTGCAAGAAAAGTAACTTGTAACTATCATAATAATGTCGCAACGAAACAAGAAGAGTGTTCGTAAGGAAATGGTATCATATAGTAACTTAGTATACATTTGCTTTTCATATCTGGATAGATTTTTCAGGAATGCTACGGAGCACACCTGAAAAAGCTCTGGTGCGCACGGGCGCACTGCTTGCGAACCACTGGTCTACGGTTACTTTTACCACAGGTGTCTTTAATTTTGTTTTGAAAGATGTGATTCTTTCTACTTTAATGTTGTTGTAACCTTTTGTTTGTAGCTCGTCTGTGATGTCGAGATCGACACCTCTAATGATGATAACTGGTTTAGTGTTTGTGTTTTTTGGTGGTTGGATGGTAGTGTTTCCTTAGAAAATGGTAATAGGCCAGTGGGCTAATATGTGTGTGCGTAGTCCTTGGGAGTTGTACATATTAGAAGTACACCTTGTTTCGGCAGTCTTCGAATGGTCTTCAGGTTTAGGTTGGAAAAGTGTTTTCTCATTTCATTTACGATTTTAGGAATTCTAAGTTCAGCGGGTATGCCTTCAACAATAAGTGCTGGAATGTTATATTCTTTGGCTTGTTTCGTGTCCAGTGTGTTTTCTTTCGTTTTGCTTGCTTCTACCACCTCGATTTTAGAGTTATTGTTAGAATTTCTATTTACCAGCGTTAACTTCTTTTTCTTTCTTTTAACAGTTGTAAATCCATCGTTATTGTTGTTTTTCATTGAAGTTGTCGATGAATCGCTGGAAGCGTCTGACCGGTCTCTAGTTGAGGCATAGTCAGATGCTGCGTCATCTAAAGCTGTTTCCAGCATGTTGGTGAGATCATCAGTAAAAAGTGGCTGGCCAGCGGAGCGAGTTGTCTTTCCTGACCGCGACTTTTTTGGTGTACTCAGCATAGTTTTTACTGGTCCTAATAAGGACCGAGGTAAACCCTACTAATAAAAAAAACTATTTAACTTTAAATACCTAGGGATAAAATCTTCATACGTCTTCTTTCTTCAAATTTTCTCTCGTTCTCCTGAAAAAAAGAATGACCAAACTTTACTTTACTTTTAGGCTTGATAGGTATTTAGGTTAAAAATATATCTCATTCCCCTTAGGGGAATGAAATATAACCACCGGTGGTCAGAAACACTTGTTTCTCTTCACCCCACTACATAACTAGGAATATGTGGCTGAGGCTTTTATAGTTTAGACGTTTACATAAGGGATTTATCATTAATATTTTTCGAAGAGAGTTTCACAAGCGTTGAGGGAAAAGCTGCTTGGAGACCTGACTAAGCAGAGCAAGACGGAGAGCTTTGTTGAGTTGTTTACTTTTCCTTCTTTATGTCACTCATACCGCAGCGCGGGATCTTTCGTTGGTCGCGTGGTGTTGGTCCCTCGCCGAGTAGAGCAGGGAGATGCAGCTTGAGCACGTTCGTTGTAGACTAGATCACACTGCGGTTATATACCGCTGGATGGTTAACTAATTTATTGTTAAAAACTTTATACTTAGAACATTAAATTTTACCTTTAAACGTGAAACGGTCCTTTTCAGGGCTGGGATCACAGGATCCAATAAACAATTTTATTGTGGGTGGAAACGAGAGTACCCTGAGAAAACCCACTTTCACTGGTAGAGCGCCGAATATTCTACTCTACCAGTGCCCGGAGCTGTAAGGACACAGGCATATATGATTAGACATTATCATTCAGGGCTTGTATTGTGTTGAATGGTGAGAGGTATCTTTGCCATGTCACGGCTAGTGATATAAACTGGTTCGTTACTGGTGTTCGGTTTATTGATTTTTTTGTAATATTTGTCTGCGAGGGTTGTTAAACGTTCTCTGATGTCGGGGATGTTACCTGCTTTTTCTAGGTATGCGTGAGGCGTGTAGCTTGGGAGTCTGTATGCTATTCTGATAGATAGATTCTGGGCTCTTTGAATGATGTACTGTGTTTGTGATGCATTTACTGTTACCATATTCTATTAATGGGCGGATGTAGGCTTTATAAATTTTCATTATTGTTATCGCTTGGCACCCTTTAATTCTGCCTCCTATCTTCTTCAAGTAATAGATGTGTTTATAAACTTTAACAAATATGTTTTTAAAGTGGTCTGACCAGGTTAATTTGCTGTTGTACGTGATTCCTAGAAATTTTGCGGTCCTTAAGAATTGGAGTTCCGTGGCGTTTAGTTTTATTTTGACTTTTGGGAGGGATTTGCTTTTGCGAGAGATCTTTCTTTTGAACAGTATAGCCTGAGTTTTGGAGGCATTCAGCATGACTCTCCATGTGTTGCACCATTGTGTTATGATGTTGAGTGAGGTTTGAACCTTGGATGCTGCTAATAGTGGTTCTCGTGATGTGCTCCAGATGGCAATGTCATCAGCGTACTGTGAAACATTTGTATAGGTCAAGTTTGAGAATGGTATGTCATTTACGAACAGGATGTATAGTAACGGGCTTAGCACAGACCCTTGGGGGACACCTGCTGCGAGCGTGAACGGGTTAGATACGGAGTTGTTGATTTTCATGCTGGCTTTTCTATTGGAAAGGAAGCTAGAAATCCATCGTGTTATTACTGGGGGAAGCTTAAATTGGAGAAGTTTATATTTTAGGCCTTGGTGCCATACCGACTCGAAGGCTTGTTTTACATCTAGGAAAACCCCTACTGTCGTGTGATTTTTTGTTAAAGCCTTGAGTGATGGATTCAGTTAACCTGACTAAATGATCGGCTGTCTGTTTTTGTGGGATGCATTTTGTATTTCTGATAATAACTGCTTTTTCTCAAGATACCATAGTAGGTGTGTTGTTATTATTTTTTCCAGTAATTTGCAAATACTATTAATCAGGCTAATTGGTCTATAGTTCTTGGGGTCATTTGTTGCAGGGCTGGTTTGGGGATAATCTTTATTATTGCAGATTTCCATTGTGAGGGGTGATAACCTGAACTAAGGGACAGGTTGAACAGAGCAGTAAGATGACTTATCAATAGATCAGAGGCGTTTCTTAGAATTAAGTTTCGGATCCTGTCTTCTCCTGGCACAGTGTTTCTTAGTGTTTTGATTGTTATCTTGGTTTCAGTCTGTGAGATAGGTTTTGTGATGATGTCATGATCTTCACGGAATATGCGTGCGTCGTGTCTTGTTGTTCACGGGAAGTGTGGTAGGAATAGGTCGGGGTTATTTTCGACGAACTGATTTATCTTTGTAAAGTGGTCTTTGTTGAACTGCGGGGCTTCAGGTGTTTTAAATACTTGCTGATAATATTCTGCTAGTAAATACGCTTTCTCTTGGTCTGATGATGCTGTCTTGCTATTATGCTTAATGTTTGGTAAATTGTTTGCGGATTGTTCGTCGCATAAAGCCTTGAATTTTTTTCCAGAATAAAGCTGGGTTTTTGTGGGAGTTATCTAGAGAAGAGCAGTATTTTGCCCAGTTGTTTACCTTTTGCTTATTGATTAAGTATCTTATGTGGTTGTTTAGTTGATTGGCTCTGAGTTTGAACTGTGGGTTGAGAGAATTAATATACTATCTACGAAGTTTACGCCTTTCTTTGATTAGTTTCCAGATTTCGCTGGTTAGTTGCCATGAATTGGTGTGAGTTTACGGCCCGTCGTGGTACTAAATTTTCTATTGCGTTAGTAATTATATTAGAAATAGTGGTGGCATATTGTTCGATTGAGGTTATATCTGCAGCCGAAGTTTGGATGTTGGGCAGGTGCTTGTCAATATTGTTTCTAAAGGTTCCCCAGTCAGTTGCAGTGAAGTCGAATACTTTAGGTCTGGCGATAGGGGTCTGCCGGCTATTGCTAGAGGGTTATTGATATTGGGTAGTGGTCACCACCTATGTGGTCATGTACTTTGAAATTCTTGACTAATGGGCCTAGCTAAGTCTAAAATTTCTTGGCTGTCATTATAATGAGTGTGAGTTGGTGTATTGTCGTTACATACTATTAGGTTTTGTTGTGTTATGATATCATTAAGAATTCGGCCATTGCGGTTTGTGGTTCTACAGCAGAAATGTTTGTGTTTAGAATTCAGGTCACCTATGATTATTGCATGAGGGTTTTGATTAATGGCATAGTGAATCAGCTGAATATCCAGGAGAGTTGATGGGGAGATGTACATTGCTAGTAGTGTGATTTTAGGGTAGTTGGGCATTAAAATTTCTTATAGAATGTGTTCATTAGTTGATTGGATGTGTACATCAGGGGCAGATAATTCAAGGTATTTCATATATATAATGGGGAGATACCTCTCCTGTTGGGACCTTTAGGTTTAGAGATGCTAGTGTAACCAGGCATACTAAATTTGTTGTTTTCATTAAGGAGTGTTTCACTTATGATTACTATATGAATACTCTTTTTTTACATAAATCAAAAAGTTCATATTTCTTATTATTTAAATCACCCTGAATATTAATGGCTAGTATATTTAACAACATACCTGATTGTCATCCTGATTTATCCTCGTAAGGA